GTAATACGGGAGAGGTCGGTGGGCAGAGAGATTCAGTTTTGCCCGGAACAAGTTGCCAAGACGTCCCACTAATTTTACGGCCAACCGCCAACGTATACATTGGTTGACGGTATTGAGTCCATGGCAGGTACAAAGCACCTAGTCGGTGTACTTTACCTAATAACGATACTAAGACGCTTCTAGCGGATCACGTGACGCTAATTAGCTTTCAGGCTGTTGCTAGTCAAATTAATCAGTACAGAAGACGATTAATACACGAAAGATATACTATAGTATATAATTACACACAGAAGATTCGAATTGTAAATGAAGACAGAAATCAATTTATACATAAGAAACTGAATTTTTAATTGATCATAAAAAACGCGATTTGGAATTACGAAAATACAGATAAATGCATACATCCGTCGAGAAAATTGAAACGAATGGACGCAACATCGGTTTGTTTTTTGCGAGCAGATTTCTTGGTAACCGTGGACCTTTAACGATCCGTCGGTTTTAGTGGTGTGCTTGAAAATAATAAAATGTATGGTATAATAAACGGCGGGTGCAACGCGGATTTCGATTATTCGCCGGCGTATTTCTTCCCGCATTCGCAATGAATTCGAAGGGGTAGCGATAGGCAGCGGCGTGTCGAAGCGCAAGAAAATTTCTTCCTGCTCGATACCACCGGTCAGACATACGTCCCAATATACGAGCCACTTACCGGAGAACCACGTATGCGCATTCCTGCCTCTAGCGCGATAGGGATACATGCACAGTGTCTTTAATATGCAACAGACGAGTTGACCTCGCCCTTTTCGTGGCGGTACTTGTTTCAGACTATTATCCAGCTACGTAGCTACGTAGCAGCTACCTACTCCGCGGTTACTGCCAGGGAATTTATAATAACCGAGAGCTGCGGGAATTACCGCGAGACCTGCCGCGCCACGCCGCGCCGCGTGCTCATCGTCGCGAACAGCTCTACGCAATGCTGTATCTTTAACTATACTCCACATCTAACGCGTTAAGTCAGATGCACTTTATAAGTATTCGATTCTTGACTAGTGAAAGTCCTCGGCCAATAATCAAAACAGCTACTTCAATTAAGAAGGAAATGTTTAGAAATTCTGTCGCTTAAAATATTAATAATTGATTTTGATCAGTGAAGAAAAAATTGTCCGATCGTTATCGACGGCATAGATCACTGTCCTGCATATATAATATGCATGTAGTTTGGTAGTTGGAGAATAATTCAACGGAACGTTAACATATTGGAGAGCGCGTTAAACAGCGAAACTTGGAATAATAAATCACACGATCGTGTCGCTAAAGCCGGTGGTTACAGCCGGGCTAGTGGTAGGTTCCATTCTATCCGGACCGATAAAGGGAACGGTGGCTCTAAGAGGGATTATAGGAAAATCAGATACTGGAAGAGAGCAGGGATTGGAAGAAAACGTTGATGCAAAGCTGTTGATGGAGCGAAACCGCGCGACGATGATGATGTGAACGTAACCGGCGCTATACATACGTACCATATACGCGGCTAGGTGCTGATGGATTCTAAGCTCCCGTCGTTTATTCAACTATTCAAGCAATGGCTTCTCCTAGCAAACATATGTCATGCGGCAAACGACGGTACGAACCTCTTCCACGCACTTTACGTCTCGAATCATGCCCTGTAATGCTCCCCGCTTCTTTAGAGGAGCCGCCGCCGTTTCTTCCTTGGATTATATTATATCGCGCTATCGCGGCTGATCTAGTTGCCGTTGTCACCGCGCGAGCTACTGGAGATTCTATTATATTAGATGGATCATTAAACGAATGACGGTGCAACATGCACACACGTGCCGAGTATCATCGACCTGTTCCCCTGCCTCGTTCATGCTACTTAGGAAAACAGAACAACATTCCTCACAAGTAGATTCCGTATAGAAATATATTTTGTAACGACAAATATTATCTGTGTAAACAGATTTGGTTATCAACGAATCTACACATTTTATGTATAAATTCTGCATTATTCAGTGAAATATTTTTCCTCGGTTTCGTTTCAGTCTAATGAATTTCGATTATTTTTAAACAAGCTATAGTTCCGATTATATCATACCTTAACAGGAAGCTAACGGCGATATTTCGAAGCAGTAAAGGAGATCAATCAACTGTTCCAGCGAAACGTGTGTCCTGCATATCAATAAAATACCATTTAATGGCTCATAACCGCGTTGAACGCGCCGGTAATAACCGTAACATCAATAATTAGCGGCATGCAATATGTAACATGCTGTCGCGCGACTAATGCGTTCCAAAGAATATCACGAATCTTCCGGATTTTCTACTTCGTGAATAACAACAGTCTTAATCAGAGTGCGTATCAAGAGATTAAACAGTTTAACAAATTCTATCTGCTTTACTTTACACCGGCTTTTATGCATCGCTTTAATTTCAATTGCTTTACAGAAATAGTTTATAAAAATGTATATTATATTTGTACATTTAATTTTGATTCCGATCATAAATACCTTTTTCCCGCTTTTTGGCTGAGATTATTGGCCCGGAGCCGGTCTCGCGAAACGATTGGTGGGTTTTTCAACCGATAGTCGAAACTTCAGAACGACAGACCGTTCAATACAACAGTCGACATAACTCGGCGAATCGAGGTTCGAGTACCATCCAGATTTCAAATGGTACTGTTTAATCTGCTGATAATGGGCATCTCCAACGAAGATACACACACACATATATGTACATACGTATATTTGTCTAGGATGGCTACGTGCATACTTGCATACTGTTTCGACGTTCGCTGCGCAAACGCCTATCCGTCCCTCCTTCTGATTCGCCTCTTCGGAGCTGGTTATGAGATCAAGAGAGACTATTCCGCGTTTCACATATCGTCGGAGCATGTTTGATCTTTTAATTAAATCGTTCGACGATTCTAGTTCGACTACTATTACTGCTAAATGAAGAATAATAGTATCACTCCATTATTTTTTAAATGATTCGTTCTTCAAAATTAACACATTTGATAAAGATTCGAGTTAGAGTGCAATGATCTCGAAGCCTGTTCCCATTTTTTCATTGCTCGTAGACATACTAAACTCCTAACACTTCGGCAGAATTATCTATTAAGTTTACGACCACCTGAATACCGCTCATAACAGTACACGTAACATCAACGTGTCTTTTCAGACTTTTTTTATAGATTAAAAAATAGGTTTTCGCTAGCACTGTGTAGAATAACACTGAGCTAATCCTTCACTTTTCTATTACTGTCACAAATAATTACACACGTGATTTACGACGATGATTAAGATCGTTCGTATGGAACGTTCATGAAACAACTACTCAGTTAACGTCATAGAGGTAAAATGTCGAACACGCTTATCCTTAGTGTCGTTAAAACTCGTCTAATATTTCTTTTCGAATTTCAGAAATTATAATCATTTCAATATAATCATAAAGTGTCCACTTTTTAGAATGAATTTTTTTCATTCATTTTAGGATTTTATCAATTGAAGCTTTCATCGTATTCTCGTTAATTTTCACGAAGTTAAATGAAACTGTTAGTTCTATTCTTAATGCAACATTTCATTGTTCGCCCGAATTAATCGATGAGAGTTTGTCCTGGTGAATGTTATTAGCCGAGGATTCGCGTCCATTCATTACCAGCTTTCCGGAATGGGAAATTTATTCGTCCTTTCTCTACCTTCTTGATTCGGTCCGCGCACCAGCTCACCGCCCGGAATATAAAAGCCACGTATAGTCATAGTAGCACCTCCTTACAGGTCGGGCCAGGCGAGAGAAAAACCTGGAATTAATATTTCTTTCTGTGTGCCCTTGCTCGTTTCCCTACCGCCCGGCCCACCCCGCTCGTTTTCTAAGGCGGATTCTTCAAGAAACTGTGAAAGGAATTTAAATTCGGTAGCCCGAGTTCTTATAACGGCTGCTACCAAGGCTATGTGTCATATTAAAAAGTTCACCGGAGGTCTTCCGCTGACGTTTATTTCTTAGCCCGATGATATTACGCCGGTAGAATTTTCATGGTTTTATCGCGCCGTCCTCCCTGATTCGACTTTGCCAGACGTTTTCTTTAACCAACCACGAAATTATTCGCGCCGAATCATCGTGCTTTGTTTATTAGAGCGTTCACATTCGGTAATAAAGAACAGTGAAACACGTCACTTATCTCTTCTATCCTACCGTGAAAAGCGGATTCACTTTTTTTTCCTCTAGAAAAGGAAATAAAAGAGAAAGGATTTATAAATAGACTGTGACAGGTGAAAACAGTTCGTTTCGTTCTCTGCGTAATAAATCGTATACTGCCATATAAAATAATGTTTTAGAAACATTCTTATGGCATTGCACGAAGCTGAGTCTTTTAATCAATTGTACGATAACGTTTCTTCAGTATTAAATATAAATCCAGTTTGACGATAATCTTTACACGTTAAAATTAGAAGTAGTCATAACTGAATAAATACAGTTAGAACGCGTGTGCATAAACTAAATATACGTGCGGTCGCTAAAAGGGGTTTACAATTGTCATAAATGGACTCCGTTTAGATATTCGATACCGTTTCATACCTCGCGTGCAATCCTACTAATAGATGCACTGCTATGTTTATTACTGCAACAGTTATTATAGTAACGCTAATAACTTAGTTCAGTAGCATGAAATCTCATTATGCAGAAACGGTAAGACTCGCGTGAAAGAATCTGCAGAACGTAACTGGACATTTCTTGAGTGTGCAAAATTTCTAAAGAAATTAAATTCTGATACGTTAACCGAGGTTCCATTCAGTCGAGGCGAATGGAACGTTCCACGCTTGGAATTCGAAATTCCAAATCACTAAAGTTTTATTTATAAATTAATCCGGTTTAATAAAATAAATTGGTTCAAAAAACAAGAGTTATACTTTTATCAATGCAATGAATTTTACAAGAGTTATCATTCCATATGATTTATTGAATGTTGTCAAATTTTCATTCATTTAATCAGAATATGGTTTATGTTTCAGAGTTCAGAAAGCTTGAAGCACCACCTCAAAATTGGTAAGTCGATTATTTTATAACAGAACCAGTTATTATATGCACTCTTTATATAATATAAGAAACTTTAGAACACTGTAATAAATAATTATATTTATTTATTTCAAGTTACAATGCATTGAATTATACAATATATTTTAATCATTGTCACTCGTTCTGTCCGCGTTCGTGAAAAAATTTAATACAAATGTCTGTACCGTCAGTTGACAAATGGTAACGAAGATAAGTAACTCGCGCGTTTTCATCCGATAATTCTTCTTTGTTCGTTGCTCGTGTCGACGCGAGCTTACATCCCAATTCCTCGAAATAAAGAAATTCGCTTCATCGCGAGGCGACGGGACACGATGGTAACTGAAAGGAATTCCTGTCATCCGGTCCGACGTCTTGACGTACGACTTCTTAAAGTTTACTCACATGAAAGTGCAGTCTAGATTTTATCCTTTTCCCACCGCGTGGCCCACTGATAACTCCCGCAGCGATCAAACGTATTTCGTGTTGTTTATTTCCTCGGTTGACGACTTCATTCGAGAAGGTTTCACACAAATTTTACCAATTTAGAAAACAAGCTTTGTCAGGAACAGTGAATAATGAGGTTCAAAACGTTGAATACATTCTCATTATGATATAGTTTTCATCATGAATAAAAAAGAAATTACATATTAGTAGATGTTGAATTCAACTAGAATGCCTATGAAAACGTCAGAAGAATAAAATAACATGTTGGTCGACGTACATTTCGTTAAAAAACGAGGCTAGATAAGAATTCAGAGACGCGAAGCGGCGGCGATATCAAATTATCAGTAGGCGTAATTATTCTGGAAACTCGATCACCGATCAAATAAATCGATTACATCCGCGGAGCAGTTCCATCCAGGATAATCGAATCGAATCCCTCATTAAAAGGAGCAAATTGACAATTCCTCGCGTATCGGCGCCCGGGACTTGGGGCACCAATCGGAGCGTGCGTGCGGCACGCGCCCAGTTACACACGCCACGTATTGTGTAATTCGGTTCGCTGCTGTAACGTCTCAATTAGTGACTCCTCGCGCATTTTGAAAACAAACCAACCACTTGCTCAGCTACTGCTATATCCACGTCTTCAAGAATAGTCACGAAACTGAGGTCTAACGTCGTAATTTCATTTGCTGATCCGGATATTCGAACTGAAAACGCGTTATATGAGGCTGATGACAAGAATACAAATCTCCTTGATCTACTTCAGTTTAACTACTATAAAAAAGTTGTCAGAACCTTCTTATCCTCATTTACTTTATATTTATTACATAGTAAGGTTTTAGATTTCATTGCAGAGTCGTCGAAAGTTCATATTTATTATACGTACTTCATACCACATTTCACGATACACGCATTTATGTTTCATGCATATATTCAATTTAGTTTGTAATTAATTTCTCTGGCATATCATACATGATTTTAAGCAAAGTTATATACTCGACTTTAAACGACAAGAGCTTCCTGGAACATTAACAACACAAATGATAGACAATGTGTCATGGATTAGTACCTATTACGATGTCGAATATTCGAAGTAAGTACCTATTGAAATAAATTAGTAATGCTACTTCATAAAATCGAAGTTAACCCATTCGCTGCCAAGGACGAGTATACTCGTCTTTGGCAGGGTGTCACGCATTGCCAGGACGAGTATACTCGTCCTGCTTTAAATATATTATAACATGCAGGCTCTTTTGAAGGCCCATTGCCAACGACGAGTATACTCGTCTTTGGTTTTCTGCTTCTAAATGATTATGTATGATAATATATGTGCTCTTACCAAGAAATAACTTGGCAGCGAATGGGTTAAACGTCGAACTCTTGTGTAGGTGTACCGTTATTCATCGATGGTAAATAATCTTTCGCGTTCCGTGATCGGAACACCCGACATATGTCCGTAATAAAGCAAGCAATTAAATTATATTTACTTTCAATTTATATCGTTTATGGATTGAACCGAGACCGGTAATCAAACTTGTCCAGCACCGCAATTACCACGCGTTTGGCAGCTGCCATACAAGTTGCATTCGTTAAACATCGATTACCGCCGCAACATATGTTAATAATAAAAGTAAAACGTGCTTAATGCACAACGTATCCGCGAAGGTTCGGTCGTGTTTGTAAAATCGTAAATCAGCCGAGGTAGACTTTCGTCTCTGAATTTATGTTTTGGAATCTGCCTTCCAACAACGTGTCTCTACATTAAGACGGAGATTATGCAGTCACATATTACAGCTTCTTGGTGCTTTACCTAACTGATGGATACTTAAATTGCCACTTCAAGTTGAAAATTGTATCCTAGCTGTCGCACATCATTTGAATTATGTCTCATACGCGCACAATTCTGTAACTTTGTAAGGAAAATTGAGATACCTAAAGTATCGTTATCATACAGGGTATCATCGAACGAGTGTGGTACAACTGAGCAGTGGATGATACTATATGTAAAATTGAGTCGAAAAGAAGGAATAACATATTTTCGTTTGACACTTGGTATTCGAGAAAATCGAGCTTGAATATTCTAACCAGTATATATGATGCACTATATCTGTAGAATTATAATATGTATTAATAAATGAGAGATAATATTGACATTACATATATATACATTAATTAGACAACATTATTGAAAAAACTGTTCAGAGTGACGTTCTCGTTAACGGATACGTATTGCTCGCCTTTTTAATGAGTTATGGACAACAGAGACGTCAATATTACAACATGTAATCGGAACGAAACTTGTATAATGAATTGGAGTGACGATGCAGTGTACGCGTATTGGATAGAATTTTTAAACTCGATTTTCTCGAAAACGAAGCGGCAAACGAAAAAATGTTATCATTCTTTTCGATTCATTTCCACATGTAATATTACTCCCTGCTCCCTGCGGACAAGATTAGAAAACAGTAATAAATCTATACCCTTTTTTCAATGCTAAATTTTGACATAATTTTGACGTTCCAAAATGAAAACAATTTTAATCGGAAAATTACATACGATTTTATTTCTAATTGACCACTAGAGCCACGCACACCTCGCGTGTAGAACGTATGAATATGGAACAAGTGTAAGTTACAAGATGAATAAAAATTGGGGAGAAAATGAGGTTAGTATGAGAGAAAAAGGAAATGTGCTAGTAAGATGAGGGCGAATCGTTTCCACTCGAAAGATATCGCGAGTAGTGGTGTAACGCGGTAGGGACGGCACGTAATTAACGCCTCATGTAGATGGTATCGTGTTGCGGACGATCCGCGTGACGACCAGGTGATGTACGGCCTCGGTGCTTGTAATGGAATATTATTATCGGTCGGCATCGACTCGTTGAGGTTGAATTAGCGGCGGCGGAGCCACGTCGGCTATGAAACGACCGATTCCAGCAAAATGGCCGAACGGAACGGCTCGGCGCGATGAAGAGCCCGATGCTCGACGCGGAGCCGCTCCGCGACGCAGCCGTGCGTTGCGAGCTACCACGCAGTACGGCGAGCTGTTCCTTGGAAACTAACCGCGAGAGACAAGCCAATTCATCTCGGGGAACTTTCGCTGGTTCAGGTGCTCGATCATCCAGGACGAGCGAAACACACTGCATTCTGGAGATAGCTAGACTGGCGGAAGTGGCTAAGGGATGGAGAATCTTAACGGGACTCGCGAGCGTGCACATCGCTCCGCGCCCGCGCCGCGCCGCTCCGACGGGAAACAGGATTAGCCGGCAGATATTGAATTTCGTAGAGCGCGGCGAAATGATATACAATGCTCGGAGCGAGCCTGCGATCGGCTCATCGAATCGCCGGAACCATTCGGAGCATAGAAAATTATCGAAGTTCGTGTCCCGGCGAACTTCGGATTCCATCCCATCGGTTCGATTTGCTTAGCCTCGTTGTGCATTAGTTTTTTAACGAGCCTCGAGCTCCCAAAGTTAATTTCGAAATCGACTCCTCGCGTCGGTAATCACAAAACAATTTAACGAGCTTGCCTTGAAAACTTTATCTGGGACAATCGGCGCTGAGAGTTCGGTGACGGTGATCTCGGCTTCCATCCGTCGAAGACGTTTTGACGATGCCGCGAAGACAATGCGGGACGCCCCCACCGTCGTTCACGAGCGAGAAACGAGAGGGCGAACGAGAATCCGGGCTCACCATTGTGCGAAACTCGCTGTCGAACTTTGTTGACTTCTTAAAAAGTCGTAAAGGACGGCCGGAGGTTCCGTCCACGACTGACGGGGACGTCTTTTCCGACACCCGTCCGACCGTTGCCCGGAAAATTGACGTCGGAGACGTTTTTCCCGGCTCGTTTTTGCGTTCTTGTTCCGACCACCTTTTCTTTCCTCTTTCCATTATATACCCTCTTGTCTCCTCGTTCTATCACTTATTACGATTGCCTCCTTTGGCCATGATTGATAGTTCTGCGTCTGAACGCATTTCTCGACTTCAATAAATTGATCACCCGGACGACTTACTCGTTTCTCTTTCTTGTGTATTTGCTCTGATAATCCAAACTTGACATTTCACTCTTCTTGATTTATTCGAAGATTTCGACGTCTCGTGTCGAGTACTGTCCTTTCGATTAATTCATACCAATTAACTTTACTTTACAGCAGTCTAATAAAAATCATGTTTCTATGTCTATAAAACATATTTCATTTCAAATCTGATTATGCAATACGTGATTTGATTTGGCAAACACTGGGAGGATAGAGAATTATCTCTAAAGATTTTTGTCATGGTAATTGACAAAATTTCCTATTTGCAAACTTCACTTAAACGTGCAAATTGACTTACAGTTTATTTCCCGTATTCATTATCAAAGGACCCACTTAAGTGAACTTCAAAGAACCTAGAATACACGCTCGTGGCTTTTTCACTGGAAACTTTATCTTTGATCTGAATTAGAAATATTAAGTGCATAGAATAATGGTGGTAGTGAATTTATTCCGCATAAAAACACGATGTTTTACCCATTTATCTAATCTTCGTGAAAGTGCACATACCTAA